GTTTGCTGCTTGTTCATTTGGCATAACGCTTTGTAATCTGTCCACAATGTTATATCGCCTCCTTTGATGTATTCTGAAAAATGTTCCAGACTGTATACGAGTGCTAACAACTCCTTAGTATTTGTCCCATATCTTTGTTGTGTAGGGTTGAGACCTTTTGAGAAATAGAGTATATCTCTTCTGACTCCATCTACAATTTGGAATAGACATCCTCCTATGCCATAGTCACTTGCATCGTTCATGATCTGGAACGGTACTCCATCTACTGGGTACGCCAAAGTTGCTGAGCATGCAATGGCATCTTTGAGTTCTTCCCATTGCTTAATGAGCTCTGGTGTCCAAAGATTGGCTATATTTTGATTCATTTTGCCTTTCATGAGATTGCGGAAGTGTTTCGTTCTGTGTGCAAACTGAGGTATGTGGTCTCGCATGTAATTTGCTAGACCGACTGCTCGATGTAAGTCGCGTTTGGTTCTTGGTAAAGGCCAGTCAATCATGCGGTTCTGTTTCTCTGGGTCTGTTTTGAGCCCTTTGGTAGTTACTTTGACGCCTAATATATTGACTGTCTTGACTGCAAACGCACACTTGTTGTGATTTAGTCTGAAGTTGACAGCATTAAGTCTTTTGATGACTTCACATACTGTTTGTTTGTGTTCCTCTTCCGTTATGCTAGCGATGACTATGTCATCTACATATACTTGTACCCCTTTAATATCAATGAGGAGGTTGGCCATCACCCTTTGGAATTGTGCTCTTAGTGAGTGCAGTCCAAATGGAGCTGACTTGAATGTGGTTTGCGCCCCTCTCTATGAAAATGTGAAGAAGTGCTGGCTATTTTCATGTACTTTAAAGTGGTGGAAGCCGCCTGTTAAGTCCAATTTAGAAAAGAAATGCGCACCTTGTAGGTTGTGGAGTACTTCCTTTATCTTCGGTAAACCGAATTGTCTTGTTCATGTTGATAATTTACTTCTCGTAAGTCTAAACATGTGCGGACCTTCTTTAATAGGCCTGTCTGTTCAAATCCTATTGTGGATAGTAGTGGCAAGTTTACTTGTGTGGATGTTGTTCTTTTGTATATGTGTCCATCTCTGACCCATTTCTGAACATTTTCATCTGTTCGTGGTATGTATTTGTGTGGAACAAAGTTCACTTTAGCATGACGAATGTTCTTGGCTTTGAATTCCTGACTTGGTATATCTACCACTGAACCTGGTAGATTGCAGTGTACATCTGGTGGGATCTGACCATTTTGTTCTAACAATTTTGAGAGTGATTCTCTGAAAAGAAGTGATTCCCACTCGGCATCTGTTGGTATTAATGGTATGATTATCCCTGCTAAGTATATGCCCAAGTATGGTAGAATGTCCATTCCTGATAGGATTGGTGATTTCTTGTCTGGAAGGTCAAGTACCTCGAACCAGTTTGATATTTTTCTGCCTCCGTAGTTTATATCACATACTTCTGTGGAGCCTGTGCGTTGTACTCTTGCATCTGATTGTGCGATTTGTATGTATCCAGGTTGTGCTTTTACAGATAAGTATAGTTCAGTTACTACACTTCGGTTCATACAAGAGCGCTGTGCCCCTGAGTCTACTAGTGCATTGTATGTGGTGCCATTGATTTGTATGTATATATGCAATCTTTGGTCTTGTGGATTCGGAAGTAAAGTAATAGGTATGTAATCAATATCATTCGCATTTATTAACAACGTTTCTTCATCAGTGTGTGCATTCACAATGTCTACCATGTTTATCATGTTAGCCTCCGACCACCAAGCTTTTCATAAATCTTCATCCATCTCTTGCACCTTATTGCCATTTGTAATGGCCAACTGGTCAACATGAACTGTTTGATTCTGTTGCGCTTCTCGAGCTTCTGCCTTTAGACGGTTATTGTTCGCTTTGTTGGAGCACATGCTGAACGCATGTGGTGAAGGGTTTATACCACAGTGTGGGCAAGGTCGTGGTCCTCGCGGTGCTGGGGTTTCAGTGGCCTGTCCCATGGGACGACCTCTGCCCTGTCCTCCTTGTGGACCTCCACCTCTTGGTAGGCCTCCTCCTCTTGGTAGACCCTCCCCTCTGGGTGGACCCCCTGGAGGTATATCCAGTCTTGGGCGAGTGGCTCGCGGTTCAGGAACAGTTGCATTTCTCGCTCTTTTGTTTTCACGTTTGCGATTAACTTGTAGTATTGTTGCCTGTCTGATCATGTCTTCGGTGAGCTCATGAAATATCTTCTCTGAGATGTCAGATAAGTGTCCACTGCTCCCATCTGATTTTGTCTGAGCCTTGATCAATTTGTCTGTTTCTGCTTGTAAACCGTACATGACTAGTACTTGGTAATGTGATGCTTTGAGGAGTTGCCAATTGATAGCTTCTTTCTCTGTGCCCTTGTAACGCTTCTCCAACTCAAACATTGTGCGACGCAATCGTGCTGCTCGTACTTCGACAATCATACGAGTGTCATAGAAGTCGTTGAGTCACTTCTCTAGTGGATAGTCTACTGGAATGCGACGTATGTTGTCAATGATTAATATGTTGTAGTCCTCCACATCAGTGAAGTTTTGCCAAAACTTTTTGGTACTACGTATATTGTTGAGAGCATTGCGCGATACTTTGGTTGCATCTGTCTGTCTAGGCAGCTCTTGTACTAGTGAGAGGTATTGTATCAATGGCATGTTTGTGCTCACAAACAAATCTTTGGCTACAGATACAAACTCAATTTTCCCTAAGTGGCTACTGGCCACTTAGGGAACTCACTCATCTTGAGTAGTTTGTTCAGTTCTGGTTCTGAAGCTTGTCCCCCTCGTGAGTTCTAATTAGAGTTAACTCGCTCATAAAGCCACTGATCGCAATGCACTCATCGTGATCACTTTTGTCACAGCTCTTCACAGCTTTATTGTTTAGCTCTACTAACCACTCATCTATTACTGAAACTAATCGCTTGGTTTGTTGTTCATGAACTGCTTTGCGCAGTTTGTGAAATGCTCTGATGTCAAAGGGATCGTCCGCTGTCTGCGCATACAACTTGTCTACTACATAGTAGTTGCCTGCATAGAAGGTCTTATCCAAGAGTAGTGGTAGTACGAGACGATGTGCATCAGTAACTATTGTTTTCATTGTGCACTAGTACAGTTGTTAAATCAACTCTGTTTGATTACCTGTATGTGCGTCCCTGTGTGGCATGCGGTGACTGTACTGATTGTAGGGCCTTGTGCTTGAGTCGCCTGAACTGTTCGAGTTCGTTTTATTTGGGTTTATTTGGAAGATTTTTGGTTTTGAGATAATAAACTTGGGTTTATTATGGTTTATCCGTCGTAAACCTGGGTTCTTTTGTGACTTGGTTTCTGGAATTGTAAACATGTAATTTGAGTTTATAAGTTTTTCTTTTTATATTTTTGTTTCTATTTGAGTCCAGGTGGTGTTCCGAACTTCTCGTCCTGTATGACTTTGAATTTGTGCGAAAGAGATATGATTTTATCTGCTTCCCATGTTTATATACATTGAATTAGTGCGAAAGAAATATGATTTTATCTGCCTCTTATGTTTATATACACTTTCCAGTATTCATTGTACACATGTAATACCACTTGTATACGTTTATACAGACGTAGTAGTCTACCTCTTGCGGTCTGTGCTGTATGTGGTGTGCATACGTCAGCTTAAACCCGCTGATGTGTGTGATGTACAGACGTATTGGTGTAACCTATGTCTTCTGCCTCAATTTTATTATTATGAACAATTGTGATCGGTCCAGGTTATGCCTTGTGGACACCAACTCTTTGTCGAAGGAGTTGTACCTTTGTTGTGTTTTATATATTTGTTCTGAAATTATGTATGGACCATTACTTTTAGTTTGTAACTGTTATTGGTTTGTGTGATTCTGATCTTCAATGTTATTTTTCCCTTGTTGCGTGTTAATTTTACTTTGGATATGCATGTGCACGTGTATGGCGGTTCTGAGTGTGAAAGATACTGTGATGTAACCTTTGTGCTTTGTGTGCTCTGTCTCTGTTATAAACTTGTGTGTGCAATTGCCTGATTTGAGAGCTAAGCTTGTGCTGTTTTGATGTCCTGTGCGATTTGACTGTTGGTGCGATTTAAGAATCTGTGCGTTTTAAGGAGCCTGATTTACCCAGTGATGTTTAGTGTTCTCTCGCTATTATTCGTTTTATTATGTGCGCGCATGTGAATTGCATGCGCGTACTATGTATGCTTCTCTGAATTTAGAGAAGACTTCTTGAATTCTACTCGATGTGATTACATCAAATAGTTTAATTATATTGTGTCTTTATTGTTTTATACTGTATACGTGTACATATATATGTTCTTCTCTTGGTCTCTTCCTATTGTTGAGTTCTGATTCATCTCTGGAGTTGAGTTATCTGTTTCCTTGTTATAGGATGTTTGTCCTTGGTGATTCCACCTCTGAAGTTGAGGGGTATATTTTATGTGCATGTACTTTGTTGTCTTTCTATGAACTTTTGAGACTGTTGTCTTTAATGAGTGAGACTGTTGTTGTCCTTAGTGAGTACTTACTTGATTGCGTTTAAGAGTAAGTCTGTCGTGGACTCCTGTCTCTTTGACTAATGTGCCTTTCAATTGCATTAAATCTCAAGGAATTCGATAGTGTTCGTGTACTGCTAATTTATCCTTTGTTTACTCGCACGTGATTTGTAATCGAGTGTCTGTTTACACTGCTTACTACTGCTCTCAATGTATGTAGTGGTTAAACCCCAACTATTGATTCGTCCTATTTAATTCCTATCGATTCGTCAATTCCTGTGCCTAATCAGGTGGTTGTTATTCTCTGGGTTGTTAGCTTAACGTTGAACTTTGTGGAGTGTTCGGCGAATTCTGTTATTACTAATCTACTTGTACACATATTACCACTGATTTGTAGCTATATATGATTCTGTAACTCAAATTTAAGTAGTCCCAGTAGTGATTGCGTGAAATTGCGCTACGAGATCTGCACCTTGCTTGTTATTGGCTTCTTGTTACTTGCTATGTAACACTACCCCGTGGGTATGTAAATTCCACTGATCACTACCCCGACCATTACAGCAGTACGTTATCTTGACGATCACTTAGTAGATATATCCTCAAACCCTACCATATTTTTTAGGGGTAGTGATTAGTGAAATCACATCATTTTAGGGTAGTAAATAGTGGATTTTGAGAGGCGGGTTGAATAAACTTGTAATAGAGTTCATATACAAGTTTTTCACATGCGAATTTATTTCCTTCTTTATTCTGTAGTCCTAACGTACATTGTAAATACTTTCCGGCAAAGTTTCCACACTGATGAGAGCGGTCACTTTGTGATTTGCCGAGTATTTGCGGAGTTCTGACGTTGTACAAGTCTTGGCAGTGTGATACTTCGCAGAACATATTTTGCATATTCGTGGATTTCCTTTGTGCTTGTATTCACGTCGATTCCTGGCACGTCGACCCCTTTTACGCCCTCGATGACCAGGATTTTTTGGAGGATATACCCGACATAATTTACTCTCGATATCGAGTTCATTTGGAATTTGAAGAGTCTCCGAATACTGCATCAATACAGGGCTGTACCTGAATATTTAAAACAATGGTGGAAATATAGTAAATATAGAGGAATTTCGTTCAAACTTAAAATAGGTGAAACCAGTAAAATCAAGTGACTTGCCATTTCTCAACTTGTAAGTTGTATTTCTATTTGAATTTATCATACCCCCGGGAGTTGTCCAATGCTAATGTCATCAGAGTTCTGCTTTCATGGACACATAGCATTCCCAACGCTTCTCGAAGCAAGCATGCACAAACCGATACACCTAGAGTATGTGAAATAGAACGTTCATTAATGTCAATTCTGCCTACAGTAGTGGCTGGATATTAACATGCATGACAACGCAAACCAAAACAAAATCATTAGACCTACCATTAGACTTCAAAGTTACTGAATACCGACCACGTACGGGTTCGACTCTCAAGTCTTGAACAGTTGCCATGCCACAGTCCTTTGAAACTGTAGTAATTCCATGTAGAATAGTCATCAGTGGTAATTCGAGAGTTCGGAACAGAGTTTGTTAATGAGATAACTATCTCATTAAGAGATGACACGTACCTTTTCTATCTCATTAAGAGATGACACGTACCTTTAGTCTGCAGTACTTTGATCTTTGAACCAGTCAACTCCCGTATGTATTGTATGTGTTCTAGTGCGGGTTCGGTTAGTGTATGACCGAGTGTGTATAGGCTTAAAGACTCAACTTGTCGACGACAGAACTTATCAGCAACGTACGCCAGGAATCCTCGGTTGAATCTCACCTAGTAATGAGTAAGCGTTAATCGATGCGAAGTATGAATTATACATGTCTCATAAATGCATCAATTCAAGCGCAGAAATGCATCACAAACATATCAATTCAAGCAAAGAAATTTATCACAAACATACCGGTCCCAAGCTACTTAACAGGTCGAGTACGCCGTTTGTTTGATCTACTGAATTGGAAGTCACATCGCCAAACCTGCAAATATTGATTTCTAGTACGTGTACGAATTGATTAGAAAATATAATTAATGCGATCGATATCCACAATATAAAAGAATTCAACAAACCCACTGCTGCTGCAATAGTGTCAAACTCACCAGGGTCCGCAGAGGTGTGTGCGGATATAGTGTATTCCTTTCTATGCTTCAGCAGGATCCCGGCAACTGGGGGGTTGCGGGACTAAAAACCCAAATAAAGCCCAAGTTAGGATAATCAGAAAACGTACCGTCAGACCCCAGCAAACGTATGTTACTATTAACTACCCCGCAAGGGTAGTGGATAGTGGGGTACCTTATGCTAGTGTGTTGTATGTAACGTGTTCTCTCGTATACTTGGATGTATTTTACACTTTGTGCTTGTTGCAATTCTCACTAGTGTCCCTTGTGTGTGTCTCTTTGTTTAGTGCACTCTGTATGTTGGATTTACTGGATTTACAAAATTATGTTTCCCAACATTGATAAATCATTCACTTGTGACACTTTTTTACGTGGGAGACCTATTCTTACCTTAGGTTCACGTTCACTCGTAAATACCTGATCTGTTGGTATCTGTATGCTTCCGTGAGGTGTCTTTAAGTCCTTCTTATTGCGTTAGGTCTTTCTTACTCGTGTTAAGTCCTTCCTTTCCGCAGAGTCTGATTGACAATCCCGGTTATTGAACTCTTCGTCCACTTGTTGAAGTTCTTCACGTGGTCCTCACCTATAATTTATATTCTTGTGATAAATAGGTTCTAATAAAGTTTGTTTTTCTTAAAGACAACTTTTCTATTTGTTTGTTATTGAGGAGGTAGTATTGCCGTTCCCTCTTAGTTGCCTGACTTACCGTAGTAAGGGTATTGTTAAAATTGTAGAGTTGGAGAGTAACTGATAAGATACGACCAGA